ATACAGACACACTGACTGGACACTCCAGTACATTAACACTGCACTGAGAGAGAGGGGTTAATACAGACATAATGACTGACTGGACACTCCACTATATTAACACTGCACTGAGAGAGAGGGGTTAATACAGACACACTGACTGACTGGACACTACAGTACATTAACACTGCACTATTTTGACTTGAACACGATAAGGAAGACTAGTAGTAGTAGAGTAGTAGAGGAGTTTATTGCCATATATACTTGTACATCTTATTCACTCTGATCTCCTGGGACATACACATTACACAATACAGCAGACGACATCACACGATATAGACAGTAAGTACGTTACGACATCATGAATTAAACTCCCAGAACAAGAAATGTGTAGTAGTGAAAGAAAAGACACATGGTAAACCAAGCAAAAAGTGAATAGTGCAGATGTGCATCAAGTCTGGAGTGTTGCAGTCAGCTGTTGAGGATTTGTACTGCAGCAGAGTAGAAACTGTTCTTGAGTCTAGCGTCTGTGCTTTAATAGTGCGATACCACTTGCCAGAGCGCCGGGGGAGAACAGTCTGTGGCCGGGATGGGTGGGATCCTGAGGGATGGACTGAGCTCTATCGTCGCAGCGGATGGTGAGAATCTAACCAATTGATGGTAGAATTCACATTCTATAATCATTGCCACAGCCCTTGATACCCTTTGTAGTGCACTTTTGTCACGCCTCCACCAGCGTTTCCACACCCCACCCTCATCCCAGCACTCCCAAACATGGTCAGGGCGCCTCTCGGTGAGACCGACAGATTTCCAGCTAGGTCCCAGTCGGTCTGATCTACAGCCCTGTTTCAGGCGATCGAACCTGCTGTGTCGCTGCTCTGACATGGAGCTCACCAGCGTCCGCTTCGCCGCTCGCGCTGGTTTCAGACTGTTTGATGGGGAGAAAGTCGTGGTCATGAGCTGCAGCCCTTTCCCCCAGGGGGCGCACAAAGCTAGATAACAGAAACCTGCTGTCCAGGAGTCTTACTCAGCCTCTTGGCTTTTTCAATTGACCCTTTGATGTGGAAAAGGTGTAAATTAGGAAATCAGCTTTAGACCAGCCAGAGCCTGCTGCCTGTGAACATGCGAGGTCATTGCAGGAGAAGTGAGCCAGGAGCTTGGTCACTCCTTACCTTCATGTGTGTCCAGGATCAGGATCCAAAACAGCAGCTGCAGGACAAGTGTCTTCATCTCTCCGACACCTCACTGGACACAGAGGACTGACCTTCCCAAGCTTCTCACTGGACACTAGACTGACACAGAGGACTGACCTTCCCAAGCTTCTCACTTGACACTAGACTGACACAGAGGACTGACCTTCCCAAGCTTCTCACTGGACACTCAACACTGCAGATTGAGCTTCCCTGACTACTGCTGGACCCTAGACACAGGGGACTGACTGCTGCTCCCACTCCACTGCAGGAATCTGAAGACCCTGCGCTTTATACAGATCCACCAGCACTGGTAACCACTCCCCCCAGCAGACTGGAATCTTCCCTCTCGCTGAAGAGGCAGAACTGAGAGCCGTATCTCAGCTGGACCCGATTGTATCTGTGCACGGTATCTGGACCCCAGAGGAACTGACAGGGCCCGATCATATCTGCACCCAGAACCCGTGTCGGATGGTATCTGGGCTCGAAACGCTGACAGGGCCAGATGGTATCCAGGCCTGAAAAGTGCTGAAGGATGAAGATACAGACCCCTGTGCGATAACACCTCAGTAAGACTCTCCCTTGCCTTGGGATCTGTTTCAGGACCAGATGGACATAGATCAGGAGTGGACACGGATGTTCAAGACTCCAGGTCAGCGGACAGGTGTCTGCTCTGTGATGCTCTGTGTTGCTCTAAGGCACTGTGGGCCGCTGACTGTGGACCCGACAAGCCACCCTCAGTAAAGGCACAGCGCGCTGACTCTGGGAATCCAGCCCCAGGAGCTGGGTGTTTTCCGCAGGCTGGCAGAGTTTGCCGAATGTAACATGGTGGGTCTTTAGGCCTGCCTTTTCCCTGGTTAGAGGTTCGATATGTTGTGGAGGTAGAGAGCCGGCGTGTGGTCGCTCAGAGCCAAGTTCCGTCACTCATGCAACACAAGTAACGAGGTCTTAGGGAAGAGCTTGTTGCTCCCAAGGTAATGCAAGCGTTACGGCTCAAGAGAAAACAAATAATACAGTTTTCCGGGCTTCTTGAGGAAGAAAAGATTGCACCTTAGCTGAGTAGCCGATGGAGTGGTTCTGAGACGAACGAGGGGTATGTTGCATGAGGATTTAATACAGGACTTCTGATTGGAAGCCCAGGTAATGCTGATGAGAGACATGCTCACATGACAACCAGGGAGAGAAGAGCAGTTCAAAGATGTTATATTTGAGATAATTTTTAGTTTTAAGATTATTTTATGAGATGTTGATTTTTAAGAGGAATTTAGAGAAACGATTCGGCTCGGTGGTGTTAGGGGCCCTGTAGTGGAGAGCGGGGGAAGATTCCTTCTACGGCGCCACACGGGGGAAAGAGAGAAAAAATTGGGAAAATACAGGATCAAGGAACTGGAAGAGGCAAAGAAGAGCACCTTGGGAAAGGCGCTGGCAGGACAGGATTCAGGCAGGTTCTTGGTCTTGGGGCTCTCAGGTCACGGGGACAGGGGTCTCTAATCGATCGAATCAATCAAGTCCGCTGGTGTAGCGGGGCTAGTTCGGATATGGTGACGTCACCGCCCTCCCTGCGCATAGCAGGGACCTCAGCTGCCAGGGCTGAGGGACGTCTCGTTTAGCTCATGCGGCTGGTTCCCTGTTGCGTTACACCGGAGACCCAGGTTAGCGCTCCAGGTGCAGCAGGACGGAATGGGTACGAGCCCGCACTGAACCGCAACGGTCACACTGGCAGCACGTCTTCATGTCGTTCAAATCACAGAGCACCTTCATTGTGGCATGTCGGGCATTAAGGATTCGTTTAATTAGCAGACTGGGTGTCAGCTTGGTAAGGGGAAGTTTGAACTGAAAGTCTTGATTTGGAGCCCCAGCAGAAATGCACTTGGACCGGCTCCCGTGAAGCATAGTTCAGGACCCTATGCAGACGGTATAATAGGTAGTAGGAAGTAGGTGGAGTAGGACAACAGGGAAGAGACGTAGAGGATCAGGATGGGTGGACAGACAGGGGGGCATGACGATGGTGATCGGGGGCTTGGGGGGCGTGGCAAGGGCAAACAGATCCAGACAGTCCAAAGGGGGCATCCAGGGCTCAGTCCAGAGTCCAAGAACCAGGGGATCTGTCCAAGACGAGACAAAACAAGGTTAAAATCAGGAATTGGATCCTGAACAGGGACAGGGAATAAAACCAGGGTAACGAGGCCGGATGCTCCAAGCCCCGGACTCAGCTGGTCAGGACACCGTGAGGAAGCCTATGCCATCGGGTCTCTCCTGGACCCACTGGTAGGCAGTCTTCTGGGCGTCCATCTCCCAGTGCTGATCCAGGAATAGCAAGAGCTCTAGGCTTAAATAAGGAGACAAAACAGGGGGCAGGTGCACATAATCAACATAATCAGGGTCATAATATGTTGGTGATTCCAATAGTACAGATGATTATGATGGTGGCCATGGTTATGGAGGTGACGTTGACGATGATGATCACTTTCCTGGAGATCATGGTGAGGCTGGTGATGCGAATACTGGCAGTGATGGAGATGACGTTGTTGATTCTGATGATGGCGAAGATGCTCCATAGTAATGGAGGAGTTGAACGTCATTGTCATGGAGATGATGGCAATGGGGTTGAAGCAGGAGAGGTGTTTTATGGGATTTTTTTCTGCTTGCAATAAGTCAAGTCACCCTTCTGCAATTGTTTCTTTAACTGGACACAGCACAGCTCAGTTTCTCACCTAGACTCTTGATATTTAATTCCCGGCTGAACAACCACACTGCATCAGAAAGATGATGATGAGAGTGGTAGTGACATTGATGAGCGTAATTGTGATGATCACAGAGATGATGAAAGTCACTAAAAACTGGAGAGAGATCTCTTATAATCAGCCCTCAGTGAATCAGTTCACCCTCAGCTAGTTTGTCATTAATTGGATGAACTGAGACTCAGTTTCCCTCCAGGACCCCTGATACATGGTTCATTCCACCCTGAGCTGCATGTTAACTCAACCATCCATTTTTAAAATGTGTGAATATAGACTCAGTCCAAGAGTATGAGTGCTTTGAGCTTTATTGTTTTATTACACAATCATAACACAACCAATGAAAGAGAGGAGGCAACCAAGTCACTCTGCAATAAAAATAGCAGACAGAGCAAAGCCAAGAGCAGAGTCTCACCAGAGAGAGGAGACAAATGAGACTCAGTAAGAGTGCAGGACTCCTCAGTCAAGGTCTTCGTGTAAATGTGAGAGATATAAACGGATGAGTCAAACAGATGCGGAAGACACTGAGGCTACTGTGAGTGAGAGGGCTGGCAGGGGACGCTGTCCTCAGGTCTCAGACGTCAGAATGTTCTTTATCCAGGTTCTGTAGCTGGATACCCGGGTGTAGATCCCAGGGTGCTTACTGCGAGCACAGCCCTTTCCATACCCGAAGCTCACAATCCCAACCTGGACCCAGCTGTTTCTCTCTTTACAGACCAGCGGTCCTCCAGAGTCACCCTGCAGAGAGATAAGAAAGTGTCTTCAGGTGGGGGTTAAAAGCACCGTTCGTTCTGGACTCATGAAGACAGTAGATGGCTCAGTTCAGTCCGTGAGTGTCCCAGTCCTTCAGGGGCTCTAGTGTCATCAGTCAGAGGTTAAAGTAGTCTGTTGTCCTGTGTATGTCCCGAGAGATCAGCGAGATTAAGAATTCCAATGTACATATGGCAGTAAACTACTGTACTCTCTACTGTAAGTGAATCTGGACTCATTAAGACAGTAACTGGCTCAGCTCACACACTGAGAGCCCCCCTCCCAGCCCCCTCTCTGTCGCACCTGGCAGGTGTCCTTCCCTCCTCTTTTGAGACCAGCGCACATCATCTCTTTCCTAATCTGGAGGCCTCTCTGCATCTTCTGACAGCTCTTGTTGTCTATGATGGGGAGCTGGACTTCCTGCAGTGTGCGCGGATGTTTCAGAGCCTCTACAGAGGGAGAAAGGGACAGGTGGGTCAGTCGGCCAGACAGGGATGTCAATGGTTCAGTATTTCTGCAGAAACATGAGGAGCCAGCCCGTATTGGAAGATGACGTCCCTACTGCAGCAAAGCACAGAGTGAAAGTGCATGCGTTTCAACCACAGCCTGCACTGGCCCTCATTTTCACTGAGGGGTGCTCTTGGCATTTGGTCATCTGCTTCAGGAGTGGCCTTTTCTAAGACCGCGACAATGAACGCATCTCCTACCGTTGGTCCCTACATCACCCCAGCCCGTAGCCCAGCACTCTGATGTCTCGTTGAAGGCCTGGGCTTCACCGGCCAGAGTGATGGGTCTAATGTATGCATTGCTGGACACTGGGCTGTCCAGCTCCACCAGGGCGATGTCAGAGCCCTTTGCAGGACTGGAGTATTGCTCATGAATGATGACCTTCTTCATGGAGCGCGTCTGCCGGTTATCGCGGCTGCTGTCCAGCTGGTACGCTCCAAGGATCACCTTGGATTTCCACCATTTAAGGGATCTGTAATACGTTATTGTTAATGGAGATGGTCACGGTAGCATTCAAAGACTGGATTGAAAAAGATCACTGAATGGAACCAAGTCATGCCTTGCATTCTTGGGATTTCTCTGGAATCAGACGGAAATAGATTTTTGGTGTTTTGTTTGTGTTACTGGAACCTGGATATAGAGATCAGGACTCCAGGTGGGACACCTGCTGTTGTTTGTATAAAAAGAGCTCAGATTCAGATATCAGGACTCCAGGTGGATCACCTGCTGTTGTTTGTGTTATTGGTGCTCAGATACAGAGATCAGGACTCCAGGTGGGACACCTGCTGTTGTTTGTGTTAATGGAGCTCAGATACAGAGATCAGGACTCCAGGTGGGACACCTGCAGTTGCTCGTGTTAAAGGAGCTCAGATACAGAGATCAGGACTCCAGGTGGGACACCTGCTGTTGTTCGTGTTAAAGGAGCTCAGATACAGCGATCAGGATATGGTTTATGTTAACGATCAGACATCTAGATGGGAAAGCTGCTGTCAACAGAGCTCAGACACAATTTTAAACATAGGAGACAGAAGTCACTTACTCATCAAAGCAGTGGGCTGCAGTGAGAACCCAGTTCTTGTCGATCAGAGAGCCTCCACAGTCAACGACATCCAAAGGCTTCCCTTTGAAAGGAAGGATCTTGAAATAAACCATCCAGGGCCACTCTCCTTCCTTCGCATCCTGACCCCCTGCGATCCGGGACAGACTGGATCTGGACCCTGGTAAGGGAGGCCAACACAGGTAAGGTGTTAATAAAGTCACACTAATCAAGTAAGGAGATACTTTGTAATCCCAGCCTTGATTAGAGTTGTTTTTATGGTTCTCCTCCCTCGTAGAACGTGTTCTCCTGTCTGTGCTGTATGGTGGATCAGGCTAGGCTGAAGTAAAGGTGAATCATTTCAAAGCAATAAAAACCTTGTTATTTTTTCAAATGTTTAATCCCTGCTTTCTTTCTTTGACACACTGTAGCATGTTGTCTCACACACAAAGCAACAGCCATGTTTAATAAAATTAGACGAATGCAGAATTATGACTCGATGTTCAAAGCACCCAGTTCTGTTATACGATGTGATATCTGTAATAATCAGTTACCCTCCAGATATCTTCATACCTTCAAAAGTGTTCAAAATCAACAGCCAAAACAATAGCATCTTCACCATTCTGATGTCTGAAGAGAGCCTGTCCCAGTGTCGGATGGAGCAGGTCTCTGCGATGGTCAGTCCAGAGCTCTTCAGAATTGGTGTTGGTCTGTACAGAGCCTGAATCAGAAAGACTATGCAGCTCTCTGGCTTACTGCATGATCACAGACACACCTTCTTGAAGTCTCAGTATGTAATGATGATGATGAGAAGGATCTAGAGTCTCAGTGAAGTGCGAGGTGTGAGGAACCGTTTCACAGTTAGTCACATGTCGGGATTGAAACCATGCTGTGGTTTTCAAAGCTCTTTACTTCCTTGTGTCTTACTGAGACAGGCAGGCCAGAGGTAACTGGTCTTCAGATTTCTTGGAGAGCTGCGATGGAAACAGACTAAAAGTCTGCCTATGAAGTAAAAAACAATATGTAGAAACATATAAGAACAAGCTAAAAAAAAAAGGCTGTGGTTCACTTGTTTTCAAGTGTTTCAAAAGTCTCAGAAGCCTTCCACTGATGAGTTCTGACTGTGAGAGCCACACGAGGGGTCTGCAGAGGGAAGGATAACGGTGTCTGAGCTCCAGCAAGCTGGGAAGTTTCATAAGGAACAGACAGACTGGAGGACAGAGGACATCTCAGCAAGGATCAGACACGGACAGGAGAAAGGGAGCAACAACATCCCCCCATTTGAAAAAAGTCAGATTTTGATACACTAAATACACCCCACACACTGCATGCTTTTTTACTCTGACCTAACCATGCGATAACGTTCAGCAAAACAATTGCAACACTTTGCACCAATTCCTGCATACTCAACACTTTTAGCAGAAGTGTGAGATTCGGATATGTGCTGACAAAGCAAAAGAGGGGGGGCAGCACACCAAGGGGGACAATTTCCTGTTGTCAGGCATCTGTATGAGGTCCTCTGGACTGGACACTGCACTGGACTGACCACCTCCTCCCTGCAGCAGAGACTGACTGTGTTCCTGTGGTCAGTAGGCATCTGTATGAGATCCTCTGGACTGGACACAGGGCTGGACCGACTGTCTCCTCCCTACAGCAGAGACTGACCAGCAGGCACAGGAAGTGGAGGGGTGTCCCTGTGGTCAGCAGAGGTCTTCTCCTGAGTCAGGAAGTGAAAAGAGTCTGTGCATGGTCATCTGGAGTGGAGCGCTAGAATGCCCACCTCCTCGCCATCAGTAGGACTGTGTTTGGGATCCTGGACTGTGAATCTGTGGAACCACAGGAAATGGGATGCAGGATGCTGCCCCTACTGCACAAATTTTCACTGGTGGGAAATTGTGCTGTCGGCAGTCTACTTCCTGGATCCGGGTAAGGCTGGAGGAATTCGGATGCCGATCCCTAGCAAGGAGAAGCTGTGTGAAACAGGAAGAGGACACGGATGGACACAGGAGCTGCTCCTAGCTTGTTCGTCACACACACTGACAAACTCATCAGTAGCTACTCCAGCCTGGGCATGGGATGTGTTGGGAGAGCCAGGCTGTCCGAGGTACTAAAGCCCTCAAAGTGCATTTCCAGTGCTACTGCACAGATCTCCCCCCTCTGGTGCTCTGCGGCTCTGCGTGATGCAGTCACTAGAGAGTCATTAGAGGGTCGTTGGGGTTAGAAATTTCTATCGATGGTGCTGCTAGCTGAAATACCAATCCAACAAAAACTGTGGCTACATAATACGACTAATCACTGGTACTACTGAAGGTACTCATGCTCCTGTACAACTCCTGTTGCGGCTGTTCCAAGTAAAGCCACTAGGTGGCAGCCGTGAGCTTTCCTAGGCTTTGTGCTCTCATAGGTGGAAGAGGAAGACGGATTAATAATAATAACAATAATAATAATTGAATTTTCGAAGAGGTAACTGCTATGAGCCCAGGTCCCAGTGTCCCAGAGGATGGTGGATCAGCAAATAAATTCAGTCCCAGGACAAGGAGTTTGAATGCTTGAAGTTTTATTGAGCTGTTGATGGAGTTACAGTACAACTGATCTCTCACAGCCAGAATAACAAAGCCAAAAAACACACCTCAGAGAGACGAGTTGCCCGGCAATAAACACACGCAACAGGACAGGAGACACAGTGAGAGAGAGAGGAGATCACAGAGAATCCCTCAGTAATAAACACAGAACAGAGGAAATGATGTTGCAGGTGATATTAACTGATTGATCAAGCAGATCTGGGTGAAGCAGAGCCAGTTAGCCAGGAGGGGGCGCTGTCCCCAGGTCTCAGTAGAAGGCTCAGAGTTGAATGTGCTCCGTTATCCAGGCCTTGTAGCTGGAGACGCGGGTGTAGACCCCGGGGGAGAAGGGCTGAGCACAACCCTTACCAAAGCTGACAACCCCAGCCTGGACCCAGCGGTTCCCCCTCTTACACACCAGAGGACCCCCAGAGTCTCCCTGGAGAGACACGGAGAGAGACAGCCTGTCAGGGCAAATGGCTGCTTCTCTCGCACCTTCATGTCCTGGCAGATCTGAACAAGCCACCACAACAGCCTGGTCTGCCTTAGTGAGCCCCGCATCGTATCTGAGGGTCTGCTTTCAGGATTTCACATGGGATTTAAATAATTGGGGCAAAAATTAAAAGGTATTAAAATGAGATAATCAATCAGGAGTGCGGATCCCTTTTAATATGGATTCAGGAAGACAATAACTGGGTCAGTTCAGTCCCTGAGAGCCCAAGTCCTTCAGTGCTCTAGTGTCTTCAGTCAGGGGTTAAAGTTTAAGCTGGAGTCATGAAGACAGTAACTGTCTCAGTTCAGTCCCTGAGAGCCCAAGTCCTTCAGTGCTCTAGTGTCTTCAGTCAGGGGTTAAAGATCAGTTTTAATCTGGACTCATGAAGACAGTAACTGACTCAGTTCAGTCCCTGAGAGCCCCAGTCCTTCAGCTGCTTAGTCAGGGGCACAGAACCCTGTTGATCTGGACTCATGGAGGCAGTAATTGGGTCAATATAGTCTCTCAGTGTCCCGTTATGTCTTACCTGGCAGGTATCCTTCCTCCCGTCCTTGAACCCAGCACACATCATGCCTGGCTGGATGGTGTATTTGCTGTTGTACATCTCTTGGCAGTGCTGGTTGTCTATAATGGAGAGTCGGACTTCTTGTAGAGTGTGAGGCCATTGGAGAGGCTCTAGAAAGGGACAGAGGTTCAATTCAATTCAAGCATCATTGTCCACTTGGGGAGAAGATATGAAGAAGAAGCTATGATACATTTAGTTCAGGCAGAGGGCTGCGTCAGCATGCGTAGGCTGCAAAGGAACAAGTAAAGGTTTATCCCCTGCTGAAAAAAGAAAAGAAACACAATGTTTCGGCTGTGAAGCCCACACGCTAAGACGTTTGCAGTTATGACACATTGTTTGCAGTGGGGATGAAAGATTTCCTGTGTCTATTAGTACGACACCTGTAGACACAGAGGCATCTCCAAGATGGGAGGAGTGTGAACTGGCAGCGGAGGGGGTGAGAGACACAATCCATCACACACCTTGCTAACCTTGACTCCCTCTGCTTATAGTCGATATTTAAGGTGATTTGTTTGCCCCCGATCAATTTGCTGTTTATTTTGACTAATTTACTCAGCCTATTACAATCAATGGTACTTATCTTACCAACCCAGCAAAGTGAGACAGTATGTTAAACACTTTCAGTGAATACTTTCAGGAGAAAGCCCTTAGGATGGTTCTATCTACCTTGAACTAGCTTAGTTTCCTTCGAAAAAAGAGTCTCTGTTGTTTTTCTAAATGATGTCTCAGAATTTGTCCCAGCTCAGAGTTTTGGCTATGACCAGTCCAAGTACATGTAATCATTGACAATTCCTACAGTTTGACCATTAATTACACTAGGTTGGAGGGATGTTGCGTTTTTTTCCTAAAATCCTTGAACAACTCTGTTGTTTTTAAAACATTTAACTGCACAGAGCACTCATCCCACCGTTTAGTAACCTCATTTACAATCGGTCCATGATGGTTTTCTGTGTCCCTTATCAGTCTGACCAGGGCTGTGTCATCGGCAAACTTAATGAGATGTCTGTTTGTGTGTTTGTTTTGACAACTGTCAGTGTGCAAAATGGACAGTGAGGGGGACAAAACACAGCCTGGATAACCAGTTCCCCGATTGGACCTGTTGAGTCCTGTTTGATAAAAGGTTAAGGACCCATCTTATCACGTTACTGTTTAGCCTGAAGTTGTCTGAGAGTATCTGTGACAGCAACCATGGTTGTATCGCATTAAAAGCAGAGGAAAAGTCAACAAATAATGTCCCTACAACTGACCCTGTGTCACGGCCTCCACTAATTGTCACGATATTAGTTCCCCCTCCTTAAGGGTGCTCCAGCCCTTTCACTAAAGACTTTATTCTATGCACCTGTTCCCTATTCCCAGCCCACCTTAAAAGCCAGGCGCTGACGCTCATCCGGGCTCTGCATCTGATTTCCATATCATGCGAGTCCGGGACCTGGAAGAGCCTGGTCCCGTTAAGGTTTTAACCTCAGTTCCCGTTCCTGTTCCCCATCCGCCGGTTCCGACCCGGCCTTCGTGGTTTTTTAATTCTTGCGCTGATGGATCTCCTGGTTTTGGACTTACCCTTGCGTTTTGGATTTTCCCTAAGGACTACTCTCGGATTGTTCGCCTCGGCCACACCTCCCCCGTGCACCAGCGCACCTTGGACACGCCCCCCTGTCTTCAGCCCCGTTTTCCTGCATGACGTTTCCCTAGTGTTTCCCCCACTCCGTCGGACTGTGTCGTCCGCATAGGGTCCGGAAAGAACTGTTCGTTACACTAATCAGACACCTGATTTGTTGTGGGTGTGTGTGTGTGGGGGGGTGTTAACCAGTGGCTATTGGATAAGAATTTCTAAAACCTGCAGGACTCCCATCATTAAGAACTGCCACAGCCCCCCGTGACCCCTGCACTACATAGACAGAAATAGGGGTCTTGTACTTTCACAAAAAAACACAAAACCTTGACAGAGATCTGGTAGAGGAAATTCAACTACTCGGCAAATGTGAAATTGCCCTCTGTGATTTCTCAGTATTAGGTCTCTTTTAGAATCTTGCTACTGTCACGGCCTCGACTTCTTCCCACAGATCCCGACGCACATCCTAATTATCCAACCACGTCCCTCGTCCTGCACCACACCTCCCGACCCCCCACTACTTAAGAGCTCCTCACCTGCACCTCCTCGCTCAGTATTCAGTTCGTACGTATAGAGCTCCCCTTCGTTATAACCTCTTCTTCTGAGGAAACCATCGTCTTGAGAAAACCCGGCTTCCAGACCTACGCATCCTCCTGACTACGACTTCTGCCTAAGTAGACCCGGCTTCCGTTCTCCACTAAATTTCCCTGTCTATCATCGTTAGCTCAGCCCCGCATAGGGTCCAATCCCCTTGCTTAACCCTCCGGCACCCACCTTACACCTGGCCTGATCAGGATACCGGTAGGCCAGATTTAACAATGTGCATCGTCTACTCCCCTCATTCCTCTGAACGCAAACTGCAGGGGGTGAGTAAGGCCAATAAGGTTCCTTGTAATTTATTGTTTAAAGAGTCCCTCCAGGCTTTGCACTGGGAGAGATGTGAGAGAAACGGGCCTGTAGCTATCAATCTTTGGAACAGGGATGATGATAGATTTTTTCCACAGAGAAGGGGTGATTTGTAGATTTAAGGGCAAAACAGAGCGAATGATCACACACTTTCAATGGCAAGCTAAACATCTTTAAAAACCGAAGCCGTATGCCTGAGAGGATCTGCACGAGTCAGCTTGTGCCTTTGGGATAGTCCCCGATTATGGGTGAACCAATCAAAATGAGACGCAGACGCCTGTCTCCCGCGGTACCTTGGGTCCCAATGTTCCCCCAGCCTGTAGCCCAGCACTCTGACGTCTCATTGAAGCGGTCACTGCTGTCGGCCAGGGTGACGGGACTGATGAACTTGCTGGTTGACACTGGACTGTCCAGCTCCACCAGGGCGATGTCTGACCCCTGGTTGGTGTTGGTGTACCCCTCATGTAAAATCACCCTCCTGATGGAGCGGGTCTGTTGGTGCTCATTGCAAATGTCCAGCTTGTGTCCTCCCAGGACCACCAGTGAATTGCATGTCTCAAGGAAGGGTCTGAAAGACAATGCGCTCAATGTCAATGCCTGCAAATCACACTGAATGGGTCAGCTTTAGCCATCTCTGTGTTGCAGGAAAGGGTCTGAGTGTTGATCCTAAGTAGACAGCGATTGACAAAAAAAGCCTTTGGTGAAGAAGTATGTGTGCTGTGGTTTGTGTGAATGGAGGTAAGATACAGAGATCAGGACTCCAGGTCATACGCCTGCTGTGGTTTGGGTTAATACAGATCAGAGATCAGAAGGTGAGGTGGGACAACGGCCATGGGCTGTGTTAATAGAGCTCAGGAACCCAGGACACATACTTTCAAACATGTACCAATACTCACTTCTTCAAGCAGTGTGCTGCAGTAAGAACCCAGCGATCGTTAAGCAAGGAACCACCACACTGAAATGTTCTGCTAAATGTCTTCACTTGAACAAAAGCCATCCAAGGCCACTTTCCCAAATAAGCATCCTGGCCTCCCACTATAGACATCCTGGACTGAGGAGCAAAGTCACCGATCACTGGAGAGAAATTAAATTTGATCAGTACACACTGACTGACTGGACACTCCAGTACATTAACACTGCACTGAGAGAGAGGGGTT